AACTTAATGCTTTGGGGCCCTACAAACCTAGCTCTTACCCTCCTCCTTCCCTGCTGAGGGAATCACCAACAGTTGAAACGGTAAAAATTCCGGAACTTCTGTGGACCTCATAAAACCCTTCAAGGTTTCCTATTCCTTGTTTCCAACCCATTCAAAAATACAGCACCGGGTTCCAACCAACAATTATAGCCTCTACCAACTAGGACGAAACGTCCCTATTCGTTGGACATTGTCCAAGGGAAGTCTGGCTCTGGATCTTCTCCAGCAGTACTGTCAACTTCACCATTCTCATTGTGCCCTCTCTGAAAGGGTACTGGTGACGGAAGAAAGAGTAACTCGTGTGGAGAATGGCGTGACTCAGGGTGAGGCCACTTGATCGGAAATGATAGTCCCCCCCCCCCACCCCCCCACCCCCCTTATGCCATGGAAAACATGCCCCACTTTCCTCACCCTTTGCTGCGTCATTGGTGTGCCGCCATCCTCTACTTGCTCATCTCTCAATGTCGTTGGTCCAGGTACTTCGTGGCCTACGTGACCCATCTGAGCGCAGGGGCAAGCTATGTACCCTCCCTTTCAAAAGACAAGAAGTGTCGGGTGCAGACCATACAACAAGTGACGACGGCCTCCAAGTGAATCTGGTAGTAGTTGTGCATAGTGATAGCTGATTCTTGGTGTATCATAGTTGTAATCAGTGAAACTGATATCAGGGACAATCATTTTATTGGCAAAAACATTCACATATTGCGCGAGCGTCGTCACTTCTGGTGATGGTGCAAGCCACGACATTCTTCTCGTTTTTTTGACGGAATATGATCTATGGCCGCGGAGAACAGCAATTTTTACACCTTCCAATCGCCGTCCTCGCTCTTTCCATTTTATCCTTCTATCTTACTCTAACATTCCCACTATTGAGCCGAACAATCACCTCCAATCCGCTCCTCCACAGCGCAAGCGGAAACCCCTGTCATGTAGTCCGTGCCGTAGTTCCCCTGAGTCGTGACTTGGGAAAGGAAGAGTTGTGACCTATAAGACGGTTATTATTACCTGACAGGATAACAAAATGCTCGCCATGAGCAAAAAGTTAGAAACACCATCATGAGGACGTCGAGCATATTCCAAAATGGAAGCCGAATCTCGCTAGAGGTTGGACGTTGATTGGAAGAACAAAGCCGATGTGCATATGTTTGTATGTAATATGTCCACGAGGCAACCCACGCACGAACCCGCCTGCTCTCAACTTCCGGACATGAGGTATCAGTCAAGCGTTGACGGGTCACTAACACATAACACGCTCAAGTGCAGCAGCTTATCATTCGCTATTGTTCTGAGCTGAACGTGTCTATGTGATGCTGTGCTGCTCCTATCTACTTCGGTACAATTTCCTGATTATACGCCGGAACCTGCTACCAGATTGACGTTACGTCCACCTAGGTGCGGAGTTGTTGAAAAAGTGGGTTATGGGTGTGGTTTGGGTTAAGGGTTAAAGGCACAGGCCACGTCCACGTGTCCTCACGGAACTATCTCCCCGCCCTTGCAGTCCATATTTGCCAAACACATAGTTCGTGGCGTCTATCGCTACTCCGATGTGCGCCTAGGCGTCATTAAGTTGCCCTTTAGTTGCGGTTGCATTCATTATCATGTTTAATCGCAAATGTCGTGCCTCGCGTATCACCATGCTCTTTCGTCTATCTTAATCAACGCTCCTTTTTGCCTCTCTCTTTCATCTTCAAGCGTAAAAACAGGCCAATTTGGTTGCGTCCCGTTTCTTTAAGTTTTGAGCAATCTCTAATCCCCTTTGCCAACATGCCATGTTTTTTTGTCTTATCGAGCCGTAAACAATCATTAACCTAACGGTGTTTCCCATCAAAACAAGGATAGCCTTCAATTAGGATGTTTTTGTTGTGGCAGCGCCTGAAAACGGGGACAAATATTTCGAGCAGAAACCGACAATCAGTGCTGAGCAAAAGCAGTGTGCCGGTGTTGCTTTTTATAATTTAAAAGCAAATTTGTGAAATTTTTTGATCTAAACCATGAAATTGCAGAGTTAATGGCCATGCAAAACTAGCCAACCTTTCCATCAATGATGCAAGGGTAAGTTGGTTTGATCTCCGTCCAATCGATTTTGCGAAAAATTGACTAAAAAGGTTGAGTGTTCAGAACACGAACGGGGCGGGGGGGGGGGCATCTGGGACTCCAATCATGTGACATTCCGCGGTTTCGTAATGCCCCCATGCAAAAGAATCTGGAAAAGCGTTCAAGTATGTTTTTCACGTGGAATGTCGTTACGACAAGTAACTGTTCAGGCATTATGGCAGGGTCGTTCCGAGTTAATTCTAGATCTTCTTTATAAACCTCAGACTTGTGAAGCAGTAGGTTGATTACCTAAGCAAGGGAAAGTGATCTATATCATGGGTTAGAGGCATTAGTGCGTTGTCATTCCATTGCGGATCTCTGTTGCCACACAGTCGTCTTGCGTCTTGCTTGCCGCTTATGCTCCATCGTTTGTCCTCTCTCGCTCCAGTGTCCAGTGTACTTTGTCGCACATACATACCCATTTTAAAAGAGGTTTTCGTTTTTTTTGTTCATTGGGGGCGTGTCTTTGATTCGGGAGTTTCCTTAGTGGGTAACAGTGAGGTTTAGCGGCTTTGGGTTGTCCTAGCTTTAAATCATTCTCGACAAGCGCTTAGTTGAAGTGTTGAATGCGCTCATCAATCCTAAGAAATGGGCGGAAAAAGTGGAGAGTAAAATCAAAGAAAGTAATGAAATTGGTGTGTAAAATAGGTGCATATTTCTAGTTTGCTCAGAAAGTTCACTGCACTCTTATTAATGTTTTTAGACTTCACGACAAAAGCATTGACACCGCCGGAAAGACATTCCTCACCCAACCGCGAAAACCACCACTCATTAGTTATCCACGGTCAGTTATCTTCGTGTTGCTCTAGAAACGTGTAACCAAGTTTTAGATCTTTGAACAAGATCGTGCATCGGCCTAAAATTTTTCAAATTTTGTGTGCAGAGTTTTCCTGCATCGTGAGGGGCAGATGCCTGGGCGGAGAGGCAGTCTGAGGACGCAGGGCGTCGTCGAGAGTTCTTGACGGTCATCTTGGTATATGGAACTTAGGGCAGTCATAAGATTTACTTGCTATTTTAGTAGTTAAAGTAACCGTGCCCTCACCTTGCATGCGCCTCGTTTGAATTTTTTGAGTAATGGGAGGGGGGGGATGTGAGAGTACCCCAAGCTCAACGTATTACTGTTGAGACCTGGTGGCATCAGAAACGGGTCAACCTTCTCGAAGAGGTTTGGGATAGCGGAGGGGATCATAAGCATTCACAAAGTAACAAAAAGTCGAAGGGAGGGGTCGAGGCATTTTTTTATTAATTTTAGCACAGACTCAAAAAAGCATGAAGGACAAAGGAGGATAATCCCAGTTCAATTCCCCCCGCCCTACCCCCTCCGCTTCGTGAATGACACCGTTTCACATGTGGTGAGTGAGGTCGGTAGCGTAAACCTTCAACCCCCCCCTCTTCAACCCGAAGGAATAAGAGGGGAGAGTCATTTAGAAATATGACTTGGAAGAAGGGTGACGTAGTCAGAAAGGGTGGAAGAAGGAGAGGGATGGTGACAGCCGTACTGGTAAATAAACATTTCCATGGCTTACCCTAGCCTGGAACCATGCCCCTCTTGGTCAGAGAAGCGCTGTCATCTGCGCCAAAGTTTCAGTGCTAGGAATTTAATAGTGGCGAATTCATGCTGTTTTGATCTCTTGTTGTTCCATTTATGACCTTCGCTCCCGGAATTTCTATAAGGACTCAGATCCGCCCACATTTTGTTCTTGCAAAAGTTTTGGTTTTGGTTCTCAAAATTATATATATTCTCAAATATATAAATATTGTATCTGAAAAGCTGCATTTCAGGTTTTACTTTCCACAAGGCGTCCCGGTGTCGATAGTGGAGAACGATGCAGCGTTGCGTCGAGTGTGTCGCGTATTTCGCGATTTTCCCAATGAACAGGTGCTGTTTCCCTTCCGTCAACCCTCCTCCTTCGCAAATAAACATATTGCCGTTGTGAAGAAAGGCAAAATAGCATAAGCGTAATCCCCCTCCTCCTGCACCAACGCTGACCTCAATCGAAGCGCGCCACAGATCCCCAGGGAAACATTTTTCGCTACTCGGTGTAGTAAAGTAATCAGTGCAATGAGAATCGGGTCTCTGCTCATAATCGGATTATAGCTTCTGTAGTACAGCAAAATTTGTCCTTCACTGACAGATGACTTCACAGCGCTCGAGTTGTGGGCGCATATGTCGTTTTAATTAATGTCCCGAACATATAGCCAACCACTCTTGGTTATGCAGTTAATCGGGAGCTAAGTGAGTACGGAAGAACTCTCAAACCGCAGTGACTTAAAGGCACATTCCGCAGTTATGTCGTTGGCCCAAACCCTCTTGCGAATGACTTTGTTGGGTTCGCAGTGCAGGCATAAGGCCACTTTCGCTACTCAAAATACGTGGAGAAGACACATAAGCTTTGTATTTGCTACCATGGACACCATAAACACACATGTATTTCAATTGTCGCGATATCTGTGTCTCGCTCCTCGCTATGCTCTCTCAGGTCCAAGTGTTGCTCTCTTTCCTCAGCACACTGTGTCTCACAGACTGTTTGTCTCCCCAAATCTCCTACCGCTCAGAGGGAAAGGCCTATTTAGGATGTTTTCCGTGAATTCTTTGTTTTTCTTCGCTGACTGGTCAAAAAACATTTACCTCTTCATAATTGACGCCCATAGTTCCCCGTCTTTGCCATTGCGGACTGTGCCTTTAAGGCAGTCAGTTGAAGTAAATAGTCGAAAGAAGCCTGGTTGGGGTTCTCCTCTCTGGTAAGATGTATGGGAACGGTTGTACCGATTTCAGATAGAATTTTCGAAATTTCTCCCAATACTTGTCGCACTGCAACGTTTATACTTTTCTTTGAAGTTACAATTTTCAGTGTTCCCTTGCTGAGATGCCACGTGTATGCGAGGCGGCCAATCTCCCACTGTATTGGAAGCATCCGATTTTTATGTCGCTCACAAAAGGAGAGGTAAGGCCATTTTGAATAGCTCAGGACGCAGTTGTCAGAAACTTGCATAGCACTGCAGTTTTATAGGATCTTAGTGCTGCTAGTGATTCCATTATGGGCTAACACGCCTGTTTTCGTAGCTCATATTGAATCTTAATCAATAGATATCTAGGCAAACTGCTATCAGGGTTTCTTTTAAGGAGTCAAATTTTCAGCGAGGGAATAAGGGAGCGTAGATGGGGAGGAGGTTTTGAATAATTACGGTGTAAAATGTAAAACCAGCTCTTTCAACATCTCCTTCCCATCACCCTCTCCCTCCTCTCATCCTATCCCGCTTGATGTCAGTCATTAGGGTTTTGGAGGCAGAACTGGAATACTTCAATGAACTATAGTATTGATACCACTCCACTGGTCATGGGAAGGTGAGGAGGCGGTTGTGAAGGAAGGAGCGAAAGGGTCGTATTGGCTAAAAGCCAACCCTGATCCAATACATACGTTGGTAACTACTGG